GGGCAGCGGTGGATGTGGCCGGGGGCAGCGGTGGATCCGGGTGAGGCGGGCCCTGCCCGGTCTCCGGCACCGCTCCCGCCGGGAGGGGCCGCAGGCTCCGAGCCGCACCGACGGGAGAAGGGAGGGAAGAGGCAAATCCCCCGCAGCTGCTGTGGGGGGTGAAAGTCAGTACTGAGGCTATCATTAAGTGACTTTCACTTAAGAATCAGTTTTATTGAAGGATTTTCACACTTGATGAATATTCTTCCATGTTTTTGCCCCAGACATCTGTTTCGCTCAACTTTTCTGAAGTGGAAAAAACAATTTGCAGTGCCTTGGTATTTCTTAAGCATGCGGTTTCCTGCTAGGGGTAGAATAAAATGAAAGCGTGATGAGATAGACCAGGCTGTATCTAGAACAGTCGATTGCTCCTGTGCGAGATTTTACACCGATCTGCTTACATTACAATACATTAGTGTATCGGTACTGAAATTTAGAATTGGTTTGGGGTTTTTTTTCATGAGGAGTTTTAGTTTGGGTTGATTTCATTTTTTTAATTCATTTTTTGGCGCGGTGTGTACATAAAAACGTAAGTCAATACGTATAGATCCTTAACTGAATCATTCATTTAAAATTCATTTTCTTTTTGATTTCCAAAGTATGGCGGGGCTCCAGGAGGACCAGCATTCCCTGGACAAGCTCAGGATCCTTTGTATGGTTATTTTGCTGCAGTAGGAGGGCAGGTAAACTTATAAAATGTTATTTACTTCTTGGTTGGTTTTTTTTTTTCCTGGGGAATATGCTCTACTTTTGGAAGGAGGAATGCCTAGTATTTGCAGTGAGGAAAACTGATGTTTCTAGTTAAAGAAAACCCAAATGCATAATTGTTTTACTTAGCTCATTTGCTATATATAGCTGTATTGGTCTGTGTTATAGTTGCATGCATACAAGAGCTATACAATTTCAATAATGCTGTTAGTTTCTGTATGTGTAAATACATACATATACAAATGTAAGCATGTATGCCTCAATTTCCTGTATAGGTATATACAGGGAATACATAGATGCATGAAGTTTTGTAATGGAATTGTGACTCAGCTCTGGGCTGGTGAATGATGCCAGGTTTAGAAGGAAAAGAGAAACTGTAGAAAGCATGGGCTGTGGAAATGGCCTGGCTAAGAGCAGGAAATGCTAATAGGAAAGAGGTCATTACATGATCTTAATAGACTCAAAGATGGAAAAGCAATTGTGGGTTGTGCCAACATCTGGGTTTACTGGTAACAGGGAGTAATTATTCTTCTAGAGGAAAGGCATTCACAGCTTTTTTTTTTCCTTCCCTGTCATTCTGCACTGCATTTTTAATTTCTTCCTATAAAACAATATATTGGTTTTGTATGATCGGTTGTTAGAAGTTAGTGCTGTTTGAACTGTATTAGAGTTTAGGAGCAGTGAGGTTAGGTTTATTGAGTTGAAGGTCCGTGTTTGTTTACCATATTACAGCTATTTATTGCACACTTGTAGGGTGTGTGCAGATCTAAAATTCTGCTCTTGGATCTGTTATCCTCAGGTAGATACAGCCACAACATGAAAATTTGAATTCATCAATATTAGCAGATGCTCAGATTCCCACCATAACTTGGATTAGTTTTGTTCTTTTTGTTACTCTTGAATTAATAATGCATCTTGCAGTCTATATCTTACTTCCTTCTAACTGCTTATGAAAATATTTAGACTGTGTGTTTTTCTAGTAAAGGAGAACACTGGAATGACCTCTGTGTAGTGAGGCCTTTCAGAGAAGGTGGAGCCCAGAGCTGAGTTCTGCTGAATGTACTGACAATTTGTCTGCCAGCTGAAATGCCTCTATGTGCAGGTGCCACCTGGATGTGCGCCAGGAATCAGCACTGGAGCCAGTAACTGATGCTGGAAAAATGAATAAGCTCCTATTGTAAAGAGAAAGGGAGGTAGCAGCAAACAGGATATGGCACTGTGGAGAAGAGGTGGCAGGAGCTGGATCTCAGCTGAAAGTAGACCATGCCCAGGTTTCTCAAGTGAGGCATGGGTACTGGAAGCTGGGGAACCAGTGGATTGGTGGGTTTGATCAAGTTAGCACTTAAGAATACTTAAGTTATGCTAATACTTAAGTTATACTAAAATGCTTTCTGCTTGTAGAAATCATTCCTTACTGAAATGAACTCAGTAGCTTTTGAAATTATCCTTAGAATCTGAGGTGTCTGTTTCTGGTACCAGTGGCTGTGCAGAAGTCAAAACCCTGTGAGGAAACAGTGAAACATAACAGATGAATTATCAGTTGCTTTTATGGCCATCCATGCAACTCTGTATAAGGCTGCATCTCAGTTATCCATATGTACTTACTGTAAAATTAGTACATTTTGGTTATGGTTTGCTGCTCTCTGTGTTGTTTTTATGCCTATATAATATATAATGTTCTCTCTGAGCTTTTTTTGAAGCAGTTTACAACAGGGATCTTATCTTTGACTTGATGAATTAGTTTCCTTTGTTTACAGAAGAAAGTCAAAAGTATTGTTTCAAATCTGTATTCAATTGAGTCTGTCGGAAGTAGTAGTTTATTTTTTAGCCTGTTTGCAAAGCCTATATGCATTGTCTAGTTTAACCTGCTTATGTTCTACTAAAAAAAGCAACAACAAAGACAAGCATCTTTTTGGTAATCTTGATTACAGTTGTGCTTCTCTATCTTCTCTATTTTAAAGTTATGCAGTTCCTATCTTTATTTCAGAAGGTACAGAGCTATTGGAGAGATTAGTTACTTAATATGAATGGCTATTTCAAAGCTCTTTCTTTTTCCCCCATGTGAATATAAAGTATTAAATACATCTATATTACTAGAGTGATGGAGTAGATTGAAAGCAAATTTGGGGTTAGCTGTCATTAACTTTACCTAGAATTAAAACATTGTTGCTCTTTTTTTCAGATCTTGTCAAGTATTTTTTAACATAGAACTACTATTTGTCTTATAAACAATGATACTTAGTATCTGAAAGTTATCAGGCTGTGCTGTTCATACCTTAGCATTCAGTAGCATATTTCCATTCTTGAAAAAAAGAGCTTTCAAAAGTGGGTTTAAATGCATTAGGGCAATGCTGTTACAAACAGAATCACAGAACATGCTGAGTTGGAAGGAACCCTCAAGGATCATTGAGTCCAACTCCAGCCCAACTAAAGATACCCCAAGAGTCACACCAAATGCCCAAGTGTGTTCTTGAACTCTGTCAGGATTGGTGCTGTGATCACTTCACTGGTTCAACCACTCTATGGGTAAAAATACTTTTCCTTATATCCAACCTAAACTCCTGTGACTTGACTTTTCATCTTCTAATGCTTTACAGAAGTATCATCATTTTTTATGTCTACAGACATAATGTTCCATTCCTGAATGAGATTAAATTGAACTCTGTGTGAACCAAACTTCATGTTGGGGATGTGAGGAATAAAACTTAGAATTCCACCTCCACTTCTGGCAGCTCTTTGCTTTCCATGAATTGGCAGTTGTTTTCACCATTTGGCTTTGAGCAGGATTTGTTGGAAATGAGGCATTTTTCCAAGCCGTGTGGATTGGTATATTTTCTGAGTCTGTTTTGTTTTTCTTTCAAAGTTATTTCCTTTCTACATTTGCTTGTTCTGCTAGCAACTTAATGTTAAAAAAAATGCAGGAATTTTTATATGTGTGAGTTACGAGGATGTCTTGAGAAGGATAACTAATTGAATACCACTGGAAAGGGAGTGGGTACTGGGAATAAGCAGCCTGGGAGAGGGCATTAATAGCTGATACATCTTCTGTTATCGAAAGGATGGACAAATAGATGCTGATGAGCTACAGAGATGTCTCACCCAGTCAGGGATTGCAGGAGCATATAAACGTAAGTTAATGATTTAAATAAACAAGCAAATCTAAAGCACACTAATTCTTCTTCCCACTACTAGAAAACACATGTAGTTGTGCCTTCTGCAGAGCTGGGGTTTTTCCTTTGCATGGCAAATGAGTTTCCTTTCCATATCTTGGACGTGTAAATTCTCTGCATTCAGTTCTGTGTGCCAAGGACCTGCCTTCTCAGCCTCCTTAGTTCCCCGCTTTGCTGGGCTGTGGAGTTGAAGTGGTTTGTTTTGTAATGGACAGACAGTTCTTAAAAAGGTGCTTTGCTTTGGTTTGAACTGAGCTTTGATATTGACCAAAATCTGTGGCAAGACTCATCTGCTGGGATACCTCCTGTTTACAGCTTCTGTGAGTGAAACTGGCTTGCTCAAGTGGTGTCTGCTGGGGGGAATGTAAAAGATTATTTTGAAACCCAAAACTGTTGTGGATTAAGAACAAGTTAATTTTAAATATAACTTGAATTGCCTCTAAATTTTCTACTGTCAGTTTTTCTAACAAATAATGGCTCTTACTTGGATCAAAAATATGGTATGGCTGTATACAGAGGGAACAAATTACATAATAGTTTATGTATTATAATATATAATCAGTATATAATTTAAATTTATAATAAATCTGAAATTGTATGTTTAGATAAAACTGAAGATTATGCTATTAACATAATTTATTTTCCCTTTTTCTAATTTTAACAGCTTTTAACTTAGAGACTTGCAGACTTATGATCTCAATGCTGGATGTATCCTTTTGTATGAAATGTAAACATTTTTGCATTATGTAAGCAAAGATGAGACAGTTCCAAAACATTTGGGAAATGCTTTGTAGTTTCCATTCAGCCTTCACTGGATCAGTTTTGTGATTATTGTGATTGGGAAGCTACAAAACTTCATTCTCACTAATTTTAACAAATTAAGAAATAAATAAATGAGGCTCTTGGTGACCAATCATTTTACAGCAAGTGGTATCCCTCTAACCCGGGGGAACTGTTTCTTTATAGAATGTATGAAGAGTCAGGTCTGGTGGCCCAGAATAAAATATTGTGCAAATCATTTATTGTGATTTTCAAATAGGAAAACTTTCCAATTTCTCATCCTTCCTAATGAATTTAAAGCACTTGTAGTAGACAGCCTGAATACAACCTAAGTCCCCCTAAATCCTGTTCCATGAATGAATCATGTTTGAGTGTCTAATGGAACTGTATGTGGCCTTCAGCATATCATGTCTAAGTGGAAGACTTAGATATACTTAGATATACTGTGTAGGGTTGAAATCTTTGGAGTTTTTTAAGCCAAAACTTAAATTGAAAGCTGTCCTGCCTAAAAAGAAAAAAGCAGAAATTAAACTGGAAGGGCTCTTAGCTCATCTTGAACAAACCACTTAGAATACGAGAGAACTGATATTACAATTTATTCTTTGGCATCTATTTTTATTTCAGCTATGTATTTAATTGGTTGCAATTATGTAGCAGCAGGTAAAACAGTAGTGTGTCAACTAAAGTAGAATTCACAAAGAGAAAATGGCTTTAGCAGGTTTCCCTGGGAAGAAGTGGGGAGAACAGGTTCTCTGAGGTCCTCTGACCTTAGGTTTTGGGTAGGATTACCTCCATCTGTGCTGGGGTATGTTTTAGTTAGTTTTCTACAAGACAAATTAATAATAGTAAAATTGTACTAATATTGGCCTTCAAGTAAGAGTTTTTAACTACAGAGAGATGCCTTTTTTGGTTTTTTGTTTGTCACTTTTTGTTGGTGGTTTTGTGTAGTTAAGAAATGTGTTTCTTAGCTTTGAAATCAGAGGGATATGTCTGGCACACTGGGATTTAACGAGTTTAAAGAACTCTGGGCTGTGATCAATGGCTGGAAGCAACACTTTGTAAGTTTTGACAGTGATGGAAGTGGTGCAGTGGATCGCCAGGAACTGGAGAAAGCCTTGATGGCTATGGGTAAGTTGTGAAGTGTTCTTGCCTCTGACACTGACTTAAACCATTTCCCAGTTATCATCCTGCAATAACTAACACATGATATTTCCAGTGAAAACATTTTGAATTCTGTTAACTTACCTGCCTTTTCAAAATAAGACTTTTTATTTTCAAATAGGATTTAGACTGAGCCCACAGGCTGTGACTGCAATCACAAAGAGATACAGCACTCAAGGAAAGATTGCATTTGATGATTACATTGCCTGCTGTGTGAAACTCAGAGCTCTCACTGGTATGCTGGATTATAGCCTTGTTACTGTCATCCCCATAATTTATTTTTATTTAATAAAACCTGATTGTTCACTTATCTCAAGTTCAGCTTTGGTGTACTACAAAAGAGGTTTCTATCAGTAGTCTACAGACAACTATAGATCAGTATTATTTAAATTCCCATGAAAAAAAGGACTTTATACTAATGCAGGGTTTACTTGAGAGACTGGAAAAGTTATGTTACCAAAATTGGGGAAACTTTGTTTATTAATAGAACATAAAGGATTGTAAATGATAAATAACAAAACTTTTGAATGGGAAATTAAGTCTTGGAATGATTTGCAGTATTCTCCATCATGTTCTCCTTCATGGGATTTGGGGAATTTTAGTAAAGTACTATACACTTTAAAAAAATTGTTTATTTGTAGTTCTTCTTACTTGGTTTCTGTTTTCAAAATGAATTCTTGCAGAATGCTTTAGAAGAAGGGATGCGACTCAGCAGGGTTTTGTTAACTTCCACTATGATGATGTAAGTAAATTTTAAGGAATCTATTAAAATTCCAGGGTAAAACAAAAGAAAAACAACAATCAGTAATGATTTGAGTTTGTGTCTATCTTTCTTACACATACAGTGGGAACCCAGAAGTTCTGGGGCTTGTTGAGTATTGTCTCTAAAATCTTTTGTGTGTTTTACAGAGTTCTATAAAATGTTTACTTTTCTCTGAACTTCTAACCAGCATGGTTCAAGAATATCCAGGAAGCTACATCACTTGCTAGTTTTGTTTTTGTCTTTCATTTTCTGTTTTAAAGCTTGGTAGGCTTTTCCTGGGAAAGGTTGGCAGAGTTCTGGTGGGAACAGACATGAATCACACTGTCAGACTTGTGGGTCTTGGCTTTCTAGCAACATCTGTGCAGCAAAAGAGAACACTAGAATCAAGTCATCCTGGATTTGGGTGTTTTGGGGTTTGGGTTTTTTTTTTTTTTGGAGCAGGGAATGAAGAGGACCATGTGTGATAATTTTTATTTTTGTTGTTTTCATTAAGGAGATGCTTTGCTTTAAGTATTTGCTTACTTTCATATGTATTTTAAAGCTTTACTATTCATGGGCTGAATTTCTTTACAGAAAAGTGTAGTGACAATGAATATTGTAGGAGAAAAAGTAAAATGTCGTTCTCTGCTATACATCTAATAAGTGGTTATTCTCTTTTCAGTTCATACAGTGTGTTATGAGCATCTAAATCAAAAGGAAGCAAGCTGTGGATGATCATGATTTAACATTCCAGAATGTGTTTTGCTTTGCCAAGTCCTCCAATGATTGTGTATCTCAATATTGGAAATTGCATATTTTATGAAGGTATCGCTTTACACACATTTTTTAGTCTTGATAATTAATATAAACTTCTTATGTACTGTTATTTTTAACTTCAATCTGTGATTATTAAAGATACTTTTATTTTCATAAACTTGCAATTCACTATCTGTAACTCAGATCTCTCAAATAGTAAGATTTTCAGTCATGTGTCTACTTTTTTCCCATGATTCACTAAAATCAGTTTCTGGAGTGCAGCTTATCTTTTTCTGACTTAAACAGTAACATGTGTATGACTTCAGAGGATATGTATTTTCTTGTCTTTGACAACGTAGGACAGATGTACAAACTGAAAGGGTTTTTGGCATGGTCATTTTGCACTGGTCTGTTTGAACATCAGTTCAAAGTTTTGTAATAGTAAGGTTTTTTTTGTAAAAGCAAGTTTTGGTTACTTTGTCAGCTTTTTTGGAGATGAAGCCTGCGACACCACACACTGAGTGTAAGAAGTTCTAGAACTTCTTGTAAGCAGGGATGCAACAAAACATAGCAGAGAACTCTTCAAGCCTTGTGCTTTGGTACAGGGGGCTTTGTTCCTGTAAGATTCTTGTTTTGTTTGTGTCACTACATAAAATGCTTTTAAACATACAAAAGCTGTTCTGTGTCAGTTTGTGCATCAACTGTCCCTTCACAGGCAGACAGACAGACTTCAGTTACATGTAAATGAATGTTTTTATCTCCTCCACTTTAACACCTAGCAAGTGGCCTTCAACTAACACATAAGGGTCAAAACCCACTTGGAGAAAATTCTTGCCAGGTTACTCTTTCAGATCACAGCAGTAGTTACCAATGAAGATAGAAACAGGCAAGGTTTACTTGCCTGAGTCTCTTCAGGGGAAAAAATGGGATTTTTGTTTGGTGGGAGTTTTCTTGTTGCTTTTGCTGTAGGGATTTTTGAGGGGACAATGGACATTGTATGGAAAGAAGGAGCAGCACAACTATACATAGGAAGTACAAACTTTTTTCCAATGAAGTAAGTTAATGAAACTTTTGTTAATTTTGATCACTTCTGCATACCACAGAGGAATGAGATATGTTTTTTTGCTGCTTGTGAATATAATGCCAGAAGAATACTAAAAAAAATGTATTTCTTAAATAAGTAGATTAGGGCAGTTTTGGGGAGGAACCTTTGCATTAAGGAATGAAAGCAAAACTATACATATGTGCATATATATATAGACACATATGCATATACATCATTGGACAAACAAGAGCTCCTCAGAGCAGGAATCTCACTCAAAGCTACTGTATTGTACCCTGCTTTGCTTAGGAGATGTCTTAAATCCAGGTCTTTAGTTTTTAGGCTGTAAATTCAAAGCAGGCTGGTTTTCCCTAAAGAAGCAACTTGTACTTACTGCTTAAATTTAGAATCCTTTGGATATTGCTTATAGTTTCATTTCAGTAGCTAGTTCTCTTTCTACCCGTTCTCTTTCTACCCTCATAATGAATTTCAAAGGCATGGACAGCATTATACATCCACATTCTGATAATACATTGTTCCATTGCACATAAAGTTGGGAAACAGGTAGAATACTACCAGAAGTATTTCTAATGGAATGACCAAAATCCATACAGGTTTGTCTGAGTGTAGCAGCCAACATCAGTTCTGCTGCAGTTCAAAACTTTGACAGCTGAGGAGGTTAGTATGAGTATGACAAAAAAAGGCTGTTCTTCCTATAGGGGTTGAATATACTATTTTGTATAAATATAGTGCTCATCCTTACACTTAATTTCATCCTAAAAATAGTAAGAGATCTTTATGAAAATGTTCATTACCCACACATCTTTACTTAGACTTAATGTGTTTCTGGTCTCGTAGTGGCTTGGCTGGGATAGAATTAATTTTCTTTATAGCAGCCCAAAGGTTCAGATTTTTAACTAATCAGCATCAATAACACAGCAGTGTTTCAGCTGTTGCTGGGCAGTGCTTGCACAGCATCAGGGTCTTTTCAGTTCTCACTCTGCAATCATAGTGAGTAGGCTGAGTGTGGGCAAGAGGCTGGGAAGGAATTCAGTGAGGACAACTGATTCAAGTGGGCCAAAGGACTGAAGACCCAAGGACCCAAAGCTCAAGTCTTGCTCAGTTTATTTCCCCAGGCTGAATTAGTGTTTTGGCACCAGCCAGCTACTGGGCAGTGAAATGCTTCAGGAAAACAGTGTAAACCAATATGGTTTTCTTCAGAGATCTTATAAACACAAACCAGAGAAAACTGGGAAAAAAAATAGTTCCAAAGCCAGGAGAAAATTCTGGCTTCCTTAAGAAAAAATAGCTTTTTGTTTTACATCAGCATTTCAAAAATCCAGTGTATTCACATGGACTGATGAGATACATCGTCTTTCAAGTTTAGAGAGAAACTAACACATAAAGATGCTGAGGAGTTAGTACAGAATCTGCTGTCATAGCAAAAAAAGCCATCTGACACCTTTGTGAAATTTGCTTCCCCATTAAGAATAGATTCAGTGGACAGGTTGAATATGCAAGTCACCTGCTTTAGAGAAACAGTTATTTTCAGAATTAATGGTTTCGCTTTCCCACAAGGCTGAGAAGGAAACTTAGGTGACACCAAGTGAGGTGATTGCTCTCGACCTTTGAGCCAACCACCGGGCATAGTTTCAAATAGGTATTTTTCCTAGGTTGCCCTCAAGCATGAAAACTAAGGAATAGTAATTTTAGATTTGCTTTGAGAACAGTTAGGCCCCTAAGACAAAGAATTGAGGAACTCACTGGATCATTTTCAACCTTGGAATTTGAAAAATAATATTTATATTCTACTATTAGCCTTTTCCCATGCACACAACATCTTTATTTTATAGACATCTATAAAAAAGGTGCTAAATATGACTTAGAAGAACAAAATACACACAACAGTCTTTGTCATTGAAAGTCACTTTACTGATGTTACAATATGTTAGTAACATTGAAAACCACAGGCATTTGTATTAAATACTCTTGTAGAAGTGAATACTGTGACGCTGTTATTATTAAAAGTGAGCAGGAATTTAGAACCCCAAATTACAATGATTTGATTTTATAAAAAGCAACCTTTTGTTTCGCTACATGAAAGCCAGATTCATTCAACAGCCCAATGCCTGTAATGTTTATGACAAAAATACCACACTCAAAGCTAGAAAGTCTTAAACTGCAATGCTTCATTTTGATGTTTGTCAAAATCTTACGCTTTTATTACATCAGGTGTGATTTTTAAAGGATTTTAACTAGCAAAGACAATGATATGATGCAAATCATTGTTTTTGCCAATACTAGCCCAGCCACAGTGGTGAAACACTATTCTACTTGCCTCTCTCAATAATGGCTAGTATGAGTGAAAAAATAGCTTTTTTTTTTTTTTTACAGCAATGCCCAAGTTAAGCATTAGCACAAAATGAAGGTGGCAGAGCCAGTTGGTATATACCACCCCAAAAGCTTTGCTTAAAGAACTGGTCATACAGTAAATAGTGTTTTCTCCAGCAGATTAAAAATTCTGTAATGCTTTGCTATTCTGAAAAAAATATTTTGCATTTATGCAACAATAAAAATAATTACTGTATTCTATATAAAACATTACCTATTGTAATATATTTTTATCATTAAGAAAAGAAAAATCGGATTATATATTCACAGTTTGAGTATGTTCTGGACTGTATTTCCAAGTGTATTGTATGCAGAGTCTACACAGACAGTGAGCAGGAGTTCTTGTACCAATGATCAGACTAAATCAGCATTTGCTGTTCTACAGAGTCTTACAATATTGCATGATTAGCTGCTCGCACCACTCTACTTACAAGGTCAGTCAGGCCTATATACAGAATTTCTAACATGGTTGTAAAAATAGACTCTCCATGCTAAAGTTAGAATATATAAGGTCTTAAGGCCTCATGTTGACTTTTTTTAAACAAAAGCTTTATTTTTTTTATTCAGAGGAATACAGAAACAGAAAACTAAAAGCTTGTTGCTTTGACATTTTATGCTCTAGCAATTAAAAATTGTGTTGACACCACTTACTTCTCCCTTAGAGAACGTTTCTTTTTAACTGCTCTGTGCTTATTTTTCCAAATTTTCCTCATCTCATTCTGAGTTATATGTCAATTATGGCCCATCTTAAGTAGCAGAAGTTTTTAAACAGTTTAAAGCTGGTTTAGCTGAAGAGATTTTGAAACTGGTATAGACTGGATTATGAAGAGCTAGACCTGCCACACCTGGCTAGGTGAGACAATTTGGAAGCCAGGTACAGTGTGTAAAGTGTGAGTAATATCTGTGTTCTGAATTTATTTTTACTGCTTGTTTTTCTTACTTGGCTGAGATAATTTAGGAATGTTGACTGTTGTAGTGCTTTTCTCCAAATACTTGCGGAAAACTGTTGTGGAATGACAAGATACCATGTGCCAGGTGCACAAGATGCTGTTTCCAAAGCTGCAGTTTACACCAGCATCCGTACTTGAGACACCAGAAATCGTTTTCATAAGCTGACTTAGAAAATACTCAAGTCAGAGCAGATTTTTAGCATAGATGACAGAAACTATTATTTCCTTTCCTGTTTCTGACAAAATCACACTTAAGAGAGTCCTGTCTCTATTGCAGCTATGTTTACACAATTAATTTCACTGTTTCATTTTTTTTTTTTTTTCTGCCTTATTAGGATAATAGTTACGTGCACACAGGAACCTCACTCCACTGTGCAGACATGGGGCCACAACCTGCACATATTTTTGCAGTTTATTCAAATTTGTTATTAGGGATCACAGAATATTCTGGGGAGGGGACCCACAAGGATGATCAAGCCCAACTCTTAAGTGAATGGCCCATATGAGGATTGAACCCTTGACCCTGGTGTTATTTAACACTGTGCTCCTACCAACTGAGCACATCAAATGTGATCAAAGTCAAATCCCATGTTGCTGATAATGTCGTATGATTTGGAAGCCATGCAAATAGTGGGTCATCAGCTCATCCATTCTAGGTATTCAGTGGAGACTGAAATACACAAGCTCTTTAAAAATGAGGCAAATAACATCATATTCTGGTTGAAAACAGTGGTTCAAACAGTCCACTCTTATCCCATGACACTGATACTGAATTTAGAGAAAGAAACAGATGATCTTCAGATTTGGAGCAAGAGAAACAGGAAACAGCTCAACTGTTAGGTTCCCAAACTTGGTCATTAAAGAGGCTTAGCCTTCAACAATGCTACAACGTGGGAGA